CAGCTAAAATCCAACCTTTTATAAGATGCCTTTTGCAATCTTCTTTAACACTAATTCCTTCCTTGGTGGATTATCTTCAGGTTATCCTGTATAGATCTTGCTTATGCATAGTTGTTTTCATGTTGTCTCTCTCATTAGAAAGAGCTCTTCAAGAGCAGGAATGGTCTTTTGCCTTTCTTTGTATCCTCAGTGCTTAGCACAGTACCGAGCACACAGTAGGTACCTAATAAATATTTGTTGACTAAAATGCTAAGACCAGAAGAATCTCAATCATGAAATATAAAATCACATATCTGTTTGTCGATCTATCTATCTAAATGCGACTAAAACCAATTCATAATGAACAGCCCTTTTTTCATTAAAATTTATGAATATTGTTCATAGGATCAAAGATGTAGAGCTGGAACAGACCTCAAAAGCCATCTGGTCCATATCCCACAGATGGAAACACTGAGGCCTATGGAGGTTAAATGACTCACAAAAAGCCACACAGGTAGTTCTCCTACTTGTAGTCAAAGAAACCATCTGCAGAGTCTGCTCCAGTGTGTCATTCTGAGTCTACCCTTCAGATTAAGCCTCAGTAAGCTTATTACTGAAATCTGTTGCGGTTTCGCCTTTCCAGCAGTCTACAGCTACATCAAAAGGTTTAAATCCTCTGGTATTTCAATCATAATGAATTTTTCTACCCTTCCTTTTTATTGTTTATTCTCTTTGGAGTATTCTGGTATGTTCTATGCTCTGCATACACTGACCTTGCTCTACCATTTACTGTGTAACTTTGAGGAAGTCACCTCATCTTTACAGATCTCAGGTTCCAACATCTGTAAGATAAGGAGGTTTTACAATTATATAATCCTATAATTTTATGTCCTGGAGTGAGAATCAACAAGAAATAGAGACCAATTAAATATTGAGGGAGAGGATGGAGTTGAGAATGACTCCAAGGTTGCAAACTCGGTTTACTGGAAGAATAGTGAGGAAGTATAGGAACAGGAGGTTTTCAAAAGAAATGCAAGCTATCAACAGCCATATAAAAGAATGGTCCAAATCACTAATAATATAAGAAATGCAAATTAAAACAAGTGCCAAGAGATCGGCAAAGATGACGATTGTTGGAGAAGCTACAGAAGGAGAGGCACACTAATGCACTGTTGGCAAAACTCTAAATTGGTCTAATACCTAGAAAACAATTTGGAACTATACATAAAAAGTCAAATTCTTCATGCCCTTTGATACGGCAATAACAGTAACACACATATACTCCCAAAAGGTCAAGACAGAGGGAAAGTACGCATATGTACAAAAATATTAAGAGCAGGCCTTTTTGTGGTAGCAAAAGACTGGAGAATCAGAGATTGGAGAAAGGCCAAACAAATAGTGGTATATGAATATAATGGAATGTTATTTATCAGAAGACATATGAAGAGAAACTTGGGAGTATTTTTGTGAACTGATGTATAATGTAAAGAACAAAACCAGAAGAAAATTTATGCAAAAACCACAACAATGCAAAAGAAAACAACTTTGAAAGACTTCAGAATTCTGAAACCAATCATAATTTCAGAAAACTAACAGAAATACAGAATGGAATACAGATTTTCTTCTTCTTTAATTTTTTTTTTCATCATGAACAAAGAAGGCTACACAAGTGTTTGTATGTGGACATCAACATGTAAATTGAAAGCCCAAATTACAAGGGCAGGGTCTGGTGAAAGAAATACTGTGAGCCAAGTACGAAATTCATTGAAAAAGGAGGGACCTCATGGGGGGCAAAAGAAACCAATCACAAGGATCTGGTTAGAACGATATATCTGGATTCAATGAATCTCAAAATAGATCGATTAGAGGTTGCTTGCTGAATAATGGTGGTAGGAGGAGAATAGAGTGTGGAGCAAGAAATATACTTTTTCCTCTTCCTGCCCAGAGTATTGGGGAAAGAAAGGGTAAGAAGGGGTAGGAGTGAAGGTATGTCCCATACAGTAGAGGACAGCAAGCAATATGCTATTATCTGGGAAAAGTCAGGTTTTGTGGATTACAAGAATATGGGAAGAACACGAGATGAACAGGTCTAATATGAAGGGCAATTCTATGATAACAGAACAGGGGGCGACTAACCCTGGTAGTCAGTTGGCCAATAAACATAAAAGTTCCTACTATGTGCTAGGCACTGTGCTAAGCACTGGGGATACAAAGAAAAACAAAAGACAGTCTCTCCTCTAGAGAAGCTCACATGGAGGAGAAAACATGCAAAAAAGTATGTATAAATAAGCTAAAGACAGGATAAATTAGAAATAATCAACAGAGGGAAGGCACTCTAGTGCCTTAATTCTTTTAAGGGGAATTGGGAAAGGCTTCCTGTAAAAAGTGGGATTTTAGCTGGGATGCAAAGGCAGCCAGCATAGACAAGAGGTAGAGATGAGTAGGGAGAAAGTTCCAGGCAGTGAAAGACAGACAATGAAAATGAATGGAGTCAGGAGACAGAGTATCTTGTTTAAGGAACACAAAGGAGGCAGGTGTCACTGGGTCAAGGAGTATGTGAAGTAGGGGTAAGGAGCTATTATAAAGGGTTTTGAATACCAAACAGTGAATTTAATATTTGATCCTGGAGATGATAGGGAGCTACAGAAGTTTACTGACGGGGGGGAGAGACATGGTCAGGTCTGTGTTTTAGGAAGATAACTTTAACCGTTGAGTGGATGATGGAATGGAGTGGGAAGAAACTTGTAGCAGGCAGACCAACCAGTGGACTATTACAATAGTCTAGGTGTGAAGTGATGAGAGCCTGTACCAGGGTGCTGGTGTGAGTAGAAGAGGAAAGGAAGAAATATATTTGGATGATGTTGCAAAGGTAAAATCAACAGGCGTAGGCAACAGATTGGATATAGAGTTGAGAAAGTAAGAAGTGAAGGATAACATCTATGTTATGAGCCTGGGTACTTGGAAAAATGGTGGTGCCCTCCACAGAAATAAGGAAGTTAGGAAGAGGAAATGGTTTCGGGGGGTGGAGGAGATGATGAATTCAGTTTTGGACATAATGAGTTTAAGAGTTTGAGATGTCCTATAGACAGCTGGAGATGTGAATCTGGAAGTTGTGAGTCTAGAGATATGAGCAGAGAGGTTAGGGCCTGGGAAAAAACTGAGGGATGGAGGGACTGAAATTCACACAGTGTAGATGAAGAACAGAGTTTGGGGTTGCAAGGCAGAGATAAAGGGGTGGAATGACAATAGATTGTGATCACATAAAGGAATTTCAGAGTTCATGAATATGGAAGTGGTGCACTTGTAAGTGATGGCAAGATGAACATTTCTGTGTGTAGCAGAGAAGTAGGTCATATGAAAAGAGTAAGCTGAGAAATTGTGAGGTTAAGGTGTTTGAGGGAGTATTACTATGTATGTTGAAATCTCTGAGTATGATGGCAAGAGTTGAAGAGAAAGCCTGTAAGCCGGAACTGAATTCATCGAGGAAAAAAGAGGAGTGTCCTAGAGATCTACAGACAACAGCTACCAGGATTTTCAATGGGTGGTATATGCAGATTGTAAAGACCTCAAAGGGGAGGATGATGGTAGGTGGAGAATCTGAATTTGGCAATGAGGGGGAAAGGAGTATTTCAACATCTCCACTTCAACTAGTGAGTTGGAAGAAATGAGTGAAAGTACAGCCAGTGCTGAAATGAATAACTCATATCTAGATACCTCAGAGCTAGAAGATGGAAGGAGTGGGAAAGGAAAAGATTTAAGTTTACTGCTTATGGAACAGGCATTCCAGAGCACACAGTTGAAAGCATGAACTTTGAAGTAAGACACTGGAAGGTGTGGAGTGTAGGGGTTGAGGTGAATGGAAATAAGAGCTTAGGCAGTTGGGGATAAAGAATAAAGTTTGAATGATGAGAGTTGGGATTCAGGATCACTAGAATGGGAAAATGAGCAGGGAAGAGTTTGTTATCATTGAAAAATAAGTTCAGGTATGTTTGCATTGTCCATAGTGGTTTGGCCTCAGGCTGGAGTTCTCTCAGGGTCTTAAACTGTTAAGTAGATGGAACAATGAAAAGGTGGGATAGAGTGGGACAAGCACACAAAAGGTTGTGGCTAACATGGATGAGTATATAGGCTCTAGTAAAAAAAAAAAAAAAAAAGCCTTGATTACCACATGCCTGGACTATTGTAGTAGCTTCAATAAGTTTTCAAAGCATATGAAGAATAATTTTCATTGTGCATTAATCTGGTGAAAACAAACAAAACTCCACAAACTATATTGCCTTCCACAGTTTAAAATTCCTTTTCCAGGTATTCAAAGCACTATACAGACAGTCATCACATTACTTTTCCAACTTAACTAGGTCCCACTAATATGCTGTTTTCTTGCCACTTTGCTATGACTACTAGAATGTCCTCTTTCCCTTATTTATCTGTTGAATTTCTATCTACTCTTTAAAGCCCAATTCAAAACTAAAGGAAGCTTTCAATCAACAAATATTTATTGAGTACCCACTATATATCAGGCACTGTGCTAGGGATACAAAGACAAGAAAGAGACAGCAGTCCTTGAGGAGTTTACATCACATCTGGAGAGACAACAAATATCTATATAAATATATAGAAAATAAATACATAAATATAGGATAACTTGGGGGAGGGGGCACATGCCAGATCTCTGATCTTCTCAGAAATAATCTTTGCCTTCAATCTTTCCCTCACTTAGTACTTTGTTTTGCAACTCTCTAGTGAAGTTATCATTTAATATATACTGCAGTTATCTGTGATTTATCTTATCCCCTGACTACATTTGAACTTTGATGAAGGCAAGAACATTTTATCTAAATTTTTTGCCTCACTCAAGGTCTACCACAGCTTTGTTTGATGTAAACAATTTTATTTGGTAACAAATATTATATAAAAACAGTTTTAGAATCGGTTTTAAGTATCCTGGTCACTGTTTTTTAAAAAAGACTAATAAAAATGTCATCATAATTATTTGCATATGCCTCAATATGCATACATACCTAAGAAATCTGTAAATGTAGTAACCCAAAGTTTGATCTGGCAATCTTGACCACACGATGCCATTCGGAAAAACTGGGGGCCATGCTCACCATCTAGTAAAATTAAATATTTCAAATGAATCAAAATTAATGAAACAGATTAATGATCTAAGAAAACAGGTTTTTTTCTCATACTGAGATCTGATAATATCCCTATTCAAGCATTTTTCCTAAGTAGTATTCATTTACCTTGTTCCTCTAATATCAGAAAAAAGACGATTTTATGAAGTTTACTACTGTTAGACATCTTTTTGTGGACTCCAAAAATGACCAATTACATTCTTGCAAGGGCAGAGCTCCAGGTCCGGCCTACAAGTGATAGATTTGTGTATCTGTACTCACGTGGTAAGGAAGAAAAGACATCAGATAGTGAGAAAAGGAAAAGAAAGAGAAGGTTGAACCTGGACAGGGAAAATTGGTATTTTTAGCATTGAGAAGGAGCTAGTATGGAGGATGGATTGAATAGAGAATAAGATTTGTTAGAACAACACCTTGTTAGAGGCAGCAAAGAACGGGATCAATGGTGCAGGTAAAAGAGTTAGCCTTAACAAGAAATAGAGATACATTTCTTGTAACAAGAAGATAAAAGGATATTAAAATTTTTTAAGGAATAAAGAAAGTTGAAAGACCTCTCATGTCAGTTGCTCTCAATCATCTTAGTAAAGTAAAATCCCATGTAGGGATATGTGGGTATGGCTGAGGACTTGTTTAAAAAGGATAATTTTCGATGAAATCACCATGGGGAATGATTTAGGGAATTGAAAGAGTGTACAAAGTAGAAGAATTGTTGGCTGAACTGAGATTATGCACCATAAATTTGTAACGGATAGGAGTCAGTTCAATTTCATTACTGTATTCCAATGATGAGGATTTTAAAGTCAGAAACTCATATAAGATAGTTAAGAGGGCAACAGATTTTAAGGTTGCAGCTAGTAGAATACTAATGAGGCACAGCATGAAGCCAAGGTAGAGATAATGGAACCAAGAATGGGAGAAATGGAGGAGAAAAGAAATGGGACAAAACAGACATTCTTTTTTTCCCTCTACTTAACAGCATTTTATTTTTCCAAGTATACATAAAGAAAGTTTTCAATATTTAATTTATAAGATTTTGAGTTCCAATTTTTTTCTCCCTCCCTTCCTCCCCTCCCCCCCAAGATGACAAGCAGTCTGACATAGGCTATACATGTACAATCATATTAAACATATTTCTACATTAGTCATGTTGTGAAAGAAGAATCAGAACAAAAGGAAAAAAAGCCAGGAGAAAGAAAAAACAAAAAACAACAACAAAAAAGAGAAAATAGTATGCTTCAATCAGCATTCAGACTCCATAGTTCTTTCTCTGGATGTGGATAGCATTTTCCACCATGAGTCTTTTGAGATTGTCTTAGATCACTGTATTGCTGAGAAGAGCTAAGTCTATCATAGCTGATCATCACACAGTGTTACTGTTACCGTTTACAATGTTTTCCTAGTTCTGCTCACTTCACTCAGCATCAGTTCATGTAAGTCTTTCCAGGTTTTTCTGAAGTCCACTTGATCATCATTTCTTATAAAACAGTAGTATTCCACTACATTCATATACCAAAACTAGTTCAACCATTCCCCAGTTGGTAGACATCCCCTCAAATTCCAATTCTTTCCCACCACAAAAAGAGCTGCTATAAATATTTTTGTATATGTGGGTCCTATTCCATTTTCTATGATCTTTTTGGGACACAGACCTAGTAGCAGTATTGCTAGATCAAAGGGTATTGCACAGCAAAACAGGCATTCTTGATAAAATGAAAATCATCCATCCTTTTACTCTTTTTTATTCTATATTAAAATAATTTCCTGTAAAAGGCATTTAAAAAAAAAAACCTCTACTTACCAAAGCCTTGATTCACAAAGAATAATGACCTAAGCTGCTTTTCCTAATATTATAAAAACTCTTGGTCAAGGCTATAACTGTTTTTGTTTCTTGTTCTTAAGAACAGCCAACCAGTGGGACTGTTTCAAATCTTTTCTACAAATCCCCAAATCTATTTTTCCTTCTCCTACTCTTGGATAAATGATCAAGCCTACTTTGCTAAGACAGAAGTCAAACATAAAATTCTCTCGTATATTCTCCTCTACAATTCACAATTTTTTCTTTGTATCTTTTCCCCTTTTCTTGTTGTCTTAGAAAGAAGTGTCTCTCCTTTTTCTAAAGCTGTCTCCATTTGTGAGCAATCAAATTCTTACTCCTTTTTTATTATCTCCTCCTCTAGCATGTCCAATCTCTTCCTCCTCACAGGTTTCCCTACTTTCACTTCAAACATTATTATTCCTCCACTCCAAGAATCTTCATTTGGATAAGCAGGCAAATTTCAAAAAACCTGGAAAGACTTATATGAACTGATGCTGAGTGAAATGAGCAGAACCAGGAGAACATTGTACACAGTAACAAACACATTGTGTGATGACTGACTTTGACAGACTTAGCTCTTCTCAGCAATGCAAGGATCTAAGCCAACTACAAAAAACTCACGATGGAAAATGCTATCCACATCCAGAGAAAGAACTCATTCTGAATGCATATGGAAGCATATTATTTGCTCTCCTTTTCTTTTGTTGTTTTGTTTCTTCTTTCTCATGATTCATCCTATTAGTTCTAATTCTTCTTTACATCATGACTAATGTGAAAATATATTTAATATGAATGCATAAGTAGAGCCTATATTAGATCGCACACCGTCTTGGACAGGGGGGAGGATAAGGAGGAGGAGAACATTTAAAACTCAAAATCTCATGGAAGTGAATGTTGAAAACTAAAAATAAATTAATTTAAAAAAAAAAAGAATCTTCATCTGAACCTGTCTCCTTTAGCTGCCATATTTCTTGAATACAATTACCACAATGTCTCCATTTCCTCACTTCACATTTTTCTCTTACCATCAATGTGATATGAGAGTAACCGCTCTCTCATAATACAACAATTACAAAGTCACCAAATCCAGTGGCCTATTCCTAGTCCTGGGGAGCATCTATTACTAACCATTCCTTTCTTCAGCATCTATGGCACTATACTTTCCTGGTTCTTGTTTATTTCTTTCTTCCTGTGTGTATTCAAGGCTTAAATTTCTAGTCTTTTTTCCAAACTCTAGCCCTAGAAAACAAATTTATCTACTTTCATAGTTTTAACTATTCATTGCATGTGACTGTCACATTTTTGTCTTTCACTATCTAATCTCTTACCTGAACTGTTGTCCTCTATTTGCCACTGCATGAGCTTTTTTTGCGTGAATGTCCCACTGTCATAATCATAATAACAGCTGCTATTTATATCGTTACCTTAAAGATGCAAAAAGCTATAGATATTATCTAAAGATATCCTGACCTTTACAATATCCCTATGAGGTAGGTAGTATTGGTACTATTATTCTCACATTATAGATACAGAAACTCAGGTTTAGAGGTGTTAAGTGATTTATGATCACACAGCTAGTGTCAAAGGCAAGATTCAAAATCAGAGCTTATGCTTTTTCAATTCCAACACTGTGTTACACAGGCACATAGCAGTTATTGTACTAAAAAAAATTCTTTGAAAATCTCTCATAAATCAATACTTTACTACTGCCCATTATTACCATCATTTAATACTATTAAAATAGCCACGATGTCTGAGACAAACCAGTGAAAACATCACTTTCTTTATGACACTACCTTGTTTAAAAAACTCTAAATGGTTTTTCACTGCCTAAAGGACAAAGCTCAAACTAATCCCTTCTATTTGGATTTCGAGGTTCTCTACTATCTGGCCTTACCTACCTATAATTCAACCTTATATTCTTTTTTTTTTTTTCAGCCAAAGATAAGATTTATTAGAACATGTGTCATATTGGGCAGACTCTGAAGGAGTCTGAACATTAGTGAGCTACTGGCTAGATTGTAAGAATCTGAGCAGTGGCCAGATACTAAGAATCTAAGCCTCAACCTTATATGCTTCAAATACCATAAACGTGAGAATTCTCATAAATCACAGAATACCAACCCAAGCTTGTCTATGCTTTGTTCCCCAAACACTCTATAGTCATTCTTACTTTCTTTTTTTTTCCCCTCATGTTGTTCGCCTTATCTGAAAAGGATTCTTCCATAATCTTTCCTAATGCAAATATTAGAGTAGCCATTTATAAACATTTCTTGAATTTCTTCTTCTTCCTCTTTTTTTTTGGCTAGGCAATGGGGTTAAGTGCCTTGCCCAAGGTCACACAGCTAGTAAGTGTTAAGTGTCTGAGGGCAAATTTGAACTCAGGTCCTCCTGACTCCAGGGCTAGTGCTCTGTCCACTGCGCCACCTAGCTGCCCCAATAGAATTTCTTAAAAAATAAATTCCCTTTACCACAAATAAAATAAAATGTTGAAATATGAGGTATCATATTTTTATGTTATCTTATTGTTTGCGAACAGAACATAACATTTCTTAAATATAACTCAATGAAATGCAATTGATTATCTATTATGCAATGGAGGGCTTTGAATTGTGTTTTAAGTTACACTTGAATATAAATGTGTTACATAGTCTAAGCATTTATAATATTTGATGCAGAATAATGAGGCCACATTGTGAAAATTTTATTAAGGCAGAAGAGTTTGGAAGTTGTGTGGTTTTCTGACATTTTCCCAGTTCAGCTCTTCCTAGATTTCTTACTCCATGCTATCAATGGACAATAAAACCTTTCAGAATACTAAAACAAAGCAAGAAATGCAAAGTATCATGGGAAAGAGGTAGGAACTAAGTGTTTTAATTTCACAATTATATAAGGAAGTTGAAAGCAAGATTTGTTGGGGATAATCCAGCTGTAATATGGATAATCCCTCTTGAAGATAATCACAAATTGATCATAAGAAGGTATAATGGCTTAGTTTAAATACTTTAGACTTTTTATCTATGGGTCTTGAATAAAATGTAGTTATGCCTTTGTAACTGATTCTAACTAAATAAATCATGATCAAGAGGTGATTTTAAATCACTTGTGGAAATAGAAACACTTAATAGAATTTATTTATCGAGAAGGTTATATTCAACAA